CATGTGCATATTCACACATGTTAGTGTGCAATTTATATATCATTAATGTGCATTTACTATTTTTTATAGATTACATATTTAACACATTACCTAATTGTAATATATCAAAAAATGTCAAAATTACAATTAAGTCCCAATAAACTATCAAATTCCCAAAAGGAAGCCCACAAATCAAATTTCAAGTACAGTCATCATCCACTGTTCATTCGGCAGCCCACCGCCGCCTGACCCTCGTCAAGGACGCACCGCGACAACCCGGCGCCACCGAACACACCGTCGCCGCCGCCTCCGAGTTCTGCCGGAATAATAATGTCAGTCATCTCACCTGGTCGTCGTCTCCAAAGCTTCGTCGCTGACTTCATCACATCCGTCTATCGCCGCGCCGCCTCGCCTCAGTCAGCCGCCTACTCGCCTCTTCTCCGTCCGCCGCCGCTCGATTCGTCTCCGGCCGCCGCCGCTCGATTCGCCTTCGTCCACTGCCGCGACTGTAGTCTAGAGTCCTTCCACCGTCGTGTCATCTCGCCTCCGATCGCCTCGCACCCGTCGTCGCCACGGCGAGTCTCATCAATGTCGAAGTCTGTGCAATTTTGTGTGTGTGTGTGTGAGCAGGTGTGTGTATGCGTGTGATGTAGGTGTGGCTGTGTGTGAGAGAGAGAAATTAAGGTGTGATAAATGATGGTGATTTGTGGTGGGTCCCACATTATGAGATGAATTGATATATAATTACAAAAATATCCTTAATAATTAGTCAAATATATATGTTTGACCAAAATGTGTGTTTATTTACCATAGTGCCATTAATGATTGACCAGATTTGACTTGATCAAGACCATTAAATTGATGGATCCAATGGTGTAAATTCATTCTCATTTCTTTCAGTATCTATCATTCTCATATGATCCTTTCTCTATATATATATATATATATAAATTATTTATAACAATTATTAGAAATATGATTGATTCTTAAAAAAAATTCTTTAATTGAAAATTATTAATTAAATGTTTTATATTGTATGTTAAAAAATTTTAGACATACGTCTGGTAAGTGTATTTCTTAACTTAAGTGTATTAAGTATGGTAAGTGTATTTCTTAGATTTATTTTGATTTTGATTCTATATTTTTAATTGTATTCCTAAAAAATATTGGATAAAAAAGGTATGCTAATAAATAGAAATTTTGTTAATTTACTATTCTTAGGCAATAATTAATAAAATTTGATCTCAGAAAAAATATTCACTAACCTATTTATTTATTTATTTATTTATACTTTCATGTCTGAACTGGAGACGGTCCAAGAGAAGAGTGTTACCTTGGTGTCATTGACTAACCCACTGTTAACCTCTCCACTCTCCGTTCCGTCTCACAGCCAAAACCCTGACCTCTTTTAAGCTCCGTAGCTAAGCCGTACAGTCCAGCCGGCGTCACCCATCCACAATACGAAATGTCCGCCGCCGACGCTGGAATCAACAACTACGAAGACTTTGTGAAGTCCCACGGCGTCCTTCTGGCGGCGTCGGGGCTTCCTCAGCCGTTGCATAGGAAGCTCTTCCACAAGCTGCTGGCCGAAACTTTTGACGGCGGGAGGTACTTCCAGGTGGAGCCCGTGGAGGACGGCAGGCAGAGGAGGCTCCTGCTCACTGCCGATTTTCTCGGAAAAGATTCTGATGTCTTTCTAGTGGACCATGCCTGGACTTTTCGCATTACCGATGCTTATAAGCAGGTAATGAACAAACAGAAATGAGCTTCATTTTTAATTTGTTTACTTATTGTTGATAGTTATGGTATATGTTGAGAAGTGGGGACATAGCTCTGTTATTGCTTTGAGAAAGGCATTTCTCTTTGTTTATGTGCTTGCTAATTTGGATTATTGGTGATATATGAGTCCATATTTTCGAGCATTGACACCGAGGTTGTTTTTGGATCGGATCGCCTTGCAGTTACAGGAAGTTCCAGGATTGGTAGAGAGGATGGCTTCATTGATGTGTGTAGATATCGATTTGAACTCAGAGTCTGACGAGCCACACGATGAAGGTGATGCTAATTTAAGTGCTGAGGAAGTAGTTGAGAAAGAATACTGTAAAGTTAAGGAGCAAGGTGATGATTCTGTGAGGTGGTTGGAGCTTGAGGATCTTGAAATCAATGATGATATTCTAGTTTCTCTTGATTTGCCTAGCAAATTTCCGGTAAGTCGCTTCTTTGTGGGTGGAAGGATGGTGTTGCTAATAGGAATGACCTGGAAAAGAGAATATTTTCAGTTAAATCTTAGTCACTTCCAAAAAGCTAGTCTGATCCATCGGATATACCTGTTGATACGAATTTAGTGAATCAACATGAGATACAAATTTGGTACTTATGATATGTAGTGCTTTATGAAATAACAAATAACAATTTATGGTTGTGTTTACTTAATATATCTTACAGAACCATCATCCAACTTCTTCTGTTTTAAGTTATGTCAACTTTTTTTTTTTTTTATTAATATTTATTTTTGTATATTCCTTATTTCTCTGGACCTCATGTGTTCGTGTTGGTTAAAACTTAACTGCTCGTCCAACAATGGCAAATCAGATCGTCTGTTCTTTATTTTCTGTTGATCTCATTTGTAACTGTTCATTTTATTGCATTAGAAATTGCTGGCTCTAAGCCTCCGTGGCAACAAGATAAAGAGCTCGGAAACTGTGTTACAGGTGGTAGCTCATATCAAATCTCTTAGAGCTCTATGGCTCAATTATAATCCTGTACTGGAAACTGGGTAAGCTCCATGTCATCCATGAAAAATGTAGTAGGATGAATATATGGCATATATACGTTTTAATACTTCTGATTGATACTGTTTTTTCTTTCTTTTACAGTGAAAATTATTTAGAAGATATTATTCTTCTGAACTGCCCTGAACTGGAGATTTACAATTCCCACTTCACCCCAAAGTATGGGCATTGGGCTTTAGGATTCTGTGGGGGATTGTATGATGTTAGCAATCCTGGAGGTTCTTGTGAGAGTGATAATCAACTGCAGAGTATCACCTCTCTTGACCTTTCGAATAGGGGCATACGCAATCTCATTACTAAGGTTAGCATATCTTTGTTTTTTTTT